GGTCCGCTGGTCCGCTGGTCCGCTGGTCCGCTGGTCCGCTGGTCCGCCGGTCCGCTGGTCCGCCGTCCGCCGGTCCGCTGGTCTGCCGGTCCGCTGGTCCGCTGGTCCGCTGGTCCGCTGGTCCGCGGTCCGCTGCTCCCCTCCTCTCATGGATGCGCTCGTCCAGTGGTCCGGTCTGCGGTTCCGGTGGTCTATAAACTGGACATGGAAAGATTTTTTTGTTCTTCAGACAGCAACGTTATAGGCAGCGTCTGACAATCAACCTCGTTGGGCCTGCCCTGCAAGCATGATGCGGCGGAACGGAAGCGCCTCACCTATACCTGGGGCTTGAAGCCGAAAATCAGTAACAGAAGTCACCCTCATTGAACTGAAGTGATCATGCTTTGGAATGCCCACCAGAATCTCTGATGTACACCGTGCACCCTGCTTTTTCCAAACTTCAACGCCCCCATCCCTGGCCACCGCTCCTGCTAGTCTTGCACCGCAGTGTAGGCGCAAGGTCTGCCTACGCTGCTGTTGTGGCTGACAGGTCTGCAATTAAGGGAGACAAGTTCGGATCTAGATTGTCATGACCAAATTCTGGGAAGGGCTCGGCGGGTGGAATACCTACGGGTGGATTGGTTTCACGCAGGTTTTGCAGGACCCACTTGGCTGCCTGCGCCTGAACAACCAAACACCTGCGGATGAGCTCTTTTCACACTTCCTTAGCGACTGTTGTATATCTCCACAACGGCTCACTCCTCATCTCTGGGCCGTTTGCGCCGATCTTCCTGGCGCTTCCTTTCCTGGTTGCTGGATGCTTTCTCCATGGCGGCCACCAGCTCCCGCAAAGTCAGCCCACAAGCCCTCATCAGTTCATTGTGGTACTTCACCTTGCCCTGCGCTGTGTCTGGGATCACTTTCAAACACAAAGTCTCACCCTGGAGCTGAAGGATGCTGGAATGCTGCTCTGCGGCTGCCGCCATGACCGCTGTCCATTTCTCTTTCGGAAGCGCTTTGCGGCGGCCCTGCTCCCTGCTGGTGCGCATTTTGTCACACGCTTCTTTGCGAGTCATCTTTGGCTTGCCGGTCAGCAAGGTGTGCTTCAGGATTGCCCGGTCTGTCCAGTGACGGCTGAAGAGACCGTCAGGCTGGACTGCGACGCCATTCTCGCCAAAACCAAAATCACTTGCCCGCACTTCATCAAGAACCAGCGGCTTTTCGCCTGCGGGTGGATCTTGGGGCGGTAGGTCCTCCACGACTTCGGCCACGCTGTCTGGAGGCCTTTCAAGCGAGTTGGGCCCAGGTTCCGCATCTTCTTCTTCAGGTTCAAGTTCAAATTCTTCTTCCTCGCCAGCTTGGGGAAGTCGAAGTCCGGGACCATGCTGGGTCGAAGCAAAATCTTCCGTCTGATAAGGAACACGCAAAGTTGCCAAATCGAAAGCAGGTTGCGGACTTGGCTGCTGGGGAAAATGGTCTGGGCTAGCGGCTGCATCTCCCAAAGCAATATGCTTCAGCTTCTGGACCTGAATTCGCGAATATAGCGCCAACCACAGATCTTGGGTTTTTGAAAATAAACAAACAAGAAACAAAGTGCCAAGAAACCAATTGGAGCAGAGCATAGGCCCTTTGGCAATGATCTGGAGTGACCTGCAAATCCCTGCTTCAACACTGCGCGCACCCACAAAGATTTCAAACACCAGGAGCAAAGCCGCCAAAACTCCCACTTGCCACGGAGCGGCTCCAAAGCGAGCGCCACCCTGAACATCCCCTGATTCGCGAGACAGATGGGCTTGCACATTCATTCCACCTTGGTAGGACATGTGCCAAGACTCCGCCTCCGGAGTGAGGGCAATGACTTGGTGAGGTTGGTCGAAGTAGGCAGTCACTCGGGAGACAGCGGCCGTCAGGGAGCACTCTGCTGGAATGGCAAAGCTTCTGTTGGCAACGCGCCACTGAGCTTCAAACCCAGACGTCGACGCAGGAGAACGTTTGAACCGTAGGCGGCTCATCTTGCCATCCAAGAGCCTCACAGGGTACCCATCTTCTGATGGGACATAGTCGCCCGCTGCATTCTGGGTGAGCTGCACTGCTTTTTCATCTTCAAGGCCAACGTCTTTCCACTCCTGAGCAGCGGCGTCTGGCGAAGCAGCCTCTTTGGCTATGCCCAGCAGTTCTGCAATTTCGGCTGTGAGAGGAACCCATCGGTGCCGGGAAACTCCTGCGCTAAACAAATCCAGCAAAGAATGTGAGCAGATTTTACAGAATCCAAAACGCTTTAACACAACACCCATCGCGCAGAACACCTGTCCTGGAGGGCAACAGAAATCTGCCGGCATGTCTTCATGCGGCTGCACAGGGCGGCCAGTGGAGATGACAAACCGTTCTTTGGGGGAAGCTGCGTGGCAACCAACCTCACCTCTTTCCATAGGGATGTATTGCGCAGGGTGCATATTGCAAGTGATCCCCACGCTAACGGTTCTAGCAAGCTTCTCTCCATAGCTCCCATTCGTTTTCGTGGCGCGAGCGCTGGTTCCAAACTGCAAGAGCTTGTTGAAGGCACTCTGGTACGGGTTCACCCTTGCCTTGGCTTTCTCCTTGGACGCAGGCCCATCGGACAAGAGACCCAAGCTGAGCAGGAAGTCGTAGGCCTCATCAAAATTCCCCAGCAAGCCAAACCAGCATCGGCCACCTGGTTCCAATCGCCCGAGCATCGATGGAACCACTCCTCAGGTGTTGCGCTGGCAACCATTGCGGAGAATAGCTTCGGCTTCAACCTGGCACAAATGGCGGGCTCGTTTTTGGTTAGAATTCAACACCTAAAACTTCCCAGCCCCCTGTTTCAACAGCCCGCTCACACCTGTGCTGCACTGGCGCAGGAGCGCCTTCTTCCACACAATATGTCGCCAGCTTGGACTCCGCGTTCGTCAAGATGACTGCGTCCAACTCCTGCCCACAAGCCTCTGCATGTCCTGTCAAGGATGATTTTCTCGTCTGGGCGTAGTTGACATTAATTGCAACCAACGTCAAAGGCGATGGCGAGGTAGCAAAGACAGCCACTTTGGCACCGTTCACAAGAGCACACATCAGCGACAAGCAGTGGAGGGCGTAAGGAAATTCTGCATGGGCTGCCCTAACAGCGTATGTTTGGCAGAAGCGGTGCCCAGCTTCTCCAAGGATGTAGCTTGGGTCGAAGCACTTGTCCACTTCATCCCACATCAAATTCATGGCAGGGATGTACTGTCTGTCTTCGTGGGCTCCAGACAAGGGCCCCAGAACTGACGACATGGCTTGGCCGCGCCACCGAGCTCAGAGCAGACGCGGCTGTCACGGCCATCATGCAAGGCTTTGTTGGAACACTTTAGTCAGACTTAGTCGAAGCTACGCAAAACAGTTTGGTTTCAAAGCGAGGCATCTGCGCATGCGCACTGACAGAGTCATGTACCGCGTGATATGTAGCCGTTTGAAGCAACAGGTCGATGCAATGAGCGGGTACGACACACCATGAATTTTCCATTCCACAGCTTCGATCCAGTCTATAAGGCACAGGCCGCGCTTGAAATCCTAAATCTTAACTTTAGACTGTCAGTCGGTCCCTTCCAATGCCGCAGAGCCGGCGACCTCCTCTGGTCTGTAGCCTCCTTGGAGTATAATTTCATTGTGGCTCCACGCCATATCGAGCAAGAAGAATTGGAAGCCGTGCTTGTTCATGTGCTTGGTTTGGTGCTTGTACTTGCTCAACCAGGTAAAAGTGAATTCACAGACCGAAGTCCGAATGCCTTGAAGAAGAGAAGCGTTTGCAGGCAAGGCTGGGTCGCACGTCTCTTTACACCAAGCATCGGTATGGCCAGCCATGTGGAACTTGTCGCACACGTACTTCATCTCTGGCGGGGCTATCTGGGCAGCAGCTTCTGAATCCTGCGCATGGGCAATATAAAACGTGAAACGCATTCACGCAAGAAACAACAGAACACTAGCACGGTGCTTATAGCTCTCACTGCCCAAAGAATTTCGTGGCTTTGTCATCCCCTTTGAGTTTCCGTCCTGGGCGCGACGAGCCGCGTACTTGTGCAAATGGCAAGCATCATCGTGGACCACCACGCGAAGGGACGGCAAGAGGGCTTTCACAGACGCCAGACATAGGTATCTCTGGCTCAACGACTCACAGCCGTAGATTTCTTGCATGTGCAAAATCAAACCCTCAGACAAACACGCCCACAACATTCCAGCAGATTTGGCAAGCTGCCTTTGAGCGGCGCTGCCTTCCTTGTGTGTGCAGCAAGTCACGCACTGCAAATCTGTTGGGTCGGACGAGCGCCCAATCTCTTGCGACGTTAAACTCGCAAGCATCGAAGGTCCAAGCGATGAGGAAGAGCCGCCTCTGCCGTCTGCCTCCTCTTCTCGCCGTGGGCGTTTGCTGGGTTTCAACTTCGCCTCGCCCACTTGCTGCAAATAGTTGGACAGGACAGACGCTGGAACTGCAGAATCGGATACCCAAGCTTCTCTTTGAGGCTCCACAGTCTCTTTCAGCAAGACCATCAAGCACTGTCCGTCATTGATGAGCTTGTGCTGAAGAATGGTCACTTCCTGAGGCAGAGTGGCTGAAAAAGAAAAATTTTACCCATTTTTGCGGTTGGAAATGTTTTGCCCCCCCGCCTGGAATTGATCATCTTGACTGCAATGGGCGGGACAGAAGCATCTCCGAAAAGCGGGAGTATTGGCACAGTTGTGGCGGACCACCCGGCGCAATTCCTTGGAAAAAGTTTCTCCGGCCAATGAGGCCCCGCAAACAGCTCGACGATTTTTTGCATTGCCATCGAGCACAACAACGTCACAGCGCATCGTGGCTTTTTGGGCTTCCTCCAAGGTAGTCCTGCCAAATTCTCTTTGCAACTGCGGCAAGAATAAGCCAATCATGTCCTCCATGGGCCGCAAGAAATCAAAAGATGCTAGGTCCAAATTGCTTTGGTGCACCCGGGTGAGGAGACGCCAAGCAAACCACCCCTGGCTAATGAGAAGCCGCAATCGAGCTGTTGGTAAGAGATGGAGCTGGGAATTGTAAGCTGCCTGCGCGCCGAGCACATCTGCTTCACTTGTGAAAGACGCATGTTGCCTCACCCTGCGTACGTGAAACTGTTGCAACCAGGGGACACTGAAGCCGAAGGTGGCGGACAACATGAAGCAGTTCAACTCAGGTAGCTCTCCTGCAAAATGATGGCACCCACTCCGCACGGTATAGTTGTACCACAGCAGCACACCAAAGTCTGGACAGGAGGATCGCCGACATCTCAGTGGAATGTGTTGTTTCTGGACCAAACCCGACAGATCTACGACGATAGCTGCAGCAGCGGAGCTCCGACATTCAGCAAGTCGTCCTCCGCACCCAGGGCAAGCAACAAGCTGCGGCACCAATTCTTGAGCTTTGCTTTCCCGGCCGAAAACAGCAACCCTTTGGTTGAAGAGCGGTTCTAATCTGGTCGCCAAATGATGGACTAGTTCTGGCGAAATTTGCGCAGCCGGGTCAGCGTCACAAATGGCTTGCGCAAGGACCCCATGGCACTGATGCTGTGGATTCGTCATTGCAGCTGCATGAAAAAAAGAAAATGCTAGATTGATGTTTGCTGATAGCAGGGTGGCTTGCGGGTCTCGCGCTTGCAATCGGCAACTTGCATACTTGCATGCTGGTTCAAAAGCAGAAGCACGGTAGATGTTTGCAAGTCATGTTTTCGACCGCGGTTGCAATCATGCGCCGATGAAAGAAATCAAGAGACAAGGCCAGCAGCTTGAGGATGAAAGAAGACGATGCGGCCAAGTGAAAAGGCTCATGCCATGGGCGACACAGGCAGCAAGCTGTTGGCAAAGCGATTGACTTCATTAGTACAGCCAGACGAAACCCCCACCGCGCCTCCAAATGCCAAGCGGCGAAGCAGCAAGGCGAAGCCTGACCAAGGACGCATTGAGTGTCCCGGGCTGAAACAGTAGTAGCAGCAAAAACAACAAGAACAACAACCAAAACACCCATCACCACCACCATTATTATCTCTGCTGGTCCGCTGGCCTGTTGGTGGCGCAGGCAAGGGTGGGAAGGGTGGGACTCTATGTCAAGTGCTGGCGCCCGCTGGTCCGCTTAGCCGCTATCCGCTGGTCGTTGCCTGCACTGCTGGTCCGCTCGTCCGCTCGTCGCTGCTCCGCTGGTCCGCCGAAGCTGCTTCGCCAGCCTGCTCGTCCACCGTTCCGCTGGTCCGCCGGTCCGCCGGTCCGCGGGTCCGCCGGTCCGCCCCAGTCCGCCGGTCCGCTGGTCCGCCGGTCCGCTGGTCCGCTGGTCCGCCGGTTCGCCGGTTTGCCGGTCGCTGGTCCGCTGGTCCGCCGGTCCGCCGGTCCGCTGGTCCGCTGGTCCGCCGGTCCGCCGGTCCGCCGGTGCGCCGGTCCGCGGGTCCGCTAGTCCGCTGGTCCGCTGGTCGCTGGTCCGCCGGTTCGCCGGTCCGCTGGTCCGCTGGTCCGCCGGTCCGCTGGTCCGCTGGTCCGCCGGTCCGCTGGTCGGCTTGGACGGTAAGGGGATCGTGAGTGTGAGAGTGAGGGTGAGAGTGCGAGTGAGAGAGTGAGAGAGTGAGCATCTGAGCAGAAACTGCTGCGCCTGCGCCGAAATCTGCACTTCGAGGTACACAAATAGCACTGCGCTTGCCACGAAAACTGCACTTCGAGGTTCACCAAGTGCTGCGCCTGCGAAAACTGCACTTTGAGGTTCACCAAGCGCTTCGCCTGCCATGAAATCTGCACTTCGAGGTTCACAAAATGCTGCGCCTGCCACGAAATCTGCACTTCGAGGTTCACAAAGCGCTGTGCCTGCCATGAAATCTGCACTTCGAGGTTCACCAAGCGCTGTGCCTCTCACGAAATCTGCACTTCTAGGTTCACCAAGCGCTGTACCTGCCATGAAATCTGCACTTTGAGGTACAGCGAGTGATGCGCCTGCCACGAAATCTCCACTTCGAGGCTCACCAAATGCTGCGCCTGCACTTCGAGGTTCACCAAGTGCTGTGCCTGCCACGAAATCTGCACTTTGAGGTTCACCAAGCGCTTCGCCTGCCACGAAATCTGCACTTCGAGGTTCACAAAATGCTGCGCCTGCCACGAAATCTGCACATCGAGGATCACTCAGCACTGTGCCTGCAAACGAGCCACATGTCGAAAAGTCACGATTCACTGCACCTGTCACGAAATCTGAGCTCCACGACGGTCACCACCATGGCACCTGCCACGAAAAGTGCACTTCGAAGTAAAACAGCTCCGATCCCTTGCACCTGTCACGAAAAGTCGACTTTGGAGCACAAAAGCACGAATTTTCCCTTGCGCCTGCCACGAAAAGTGACCACCATGTGCGAAAATGCGCACAGCGCCACAACGAGAGCACAGTCGTTAAAGCACCCGCCGCAGACACCCAGATTCAGCGAGCCTGCGAAGTCGAAATGCACTTCGAGGGTTTCGAGAGGCATGAATGCACTGTCAATAGCAGTGAATTAGCCGTTGACGTTCGGCGCGCCCCAGCGATCTAAGCACAGCTGCTTAACACTTACCATAAGAACCCCTAGTGTGTCCACACTGTTTGGTGAAAAAGAACGCCCAACCAGAAATTACCTCCCCCAAGATGACATGGCTTTTTGCACTTTTGATTATCGGATGCGTCTGGAAAGCAATTCCAAAAAGGAATTAAATTCGATTTTAAGCTACCTGTGTTGCCTATGCCATGTGGATACCTAAAGGGGGCTTCAATTCAAATTCCAGCTGTGGCGCGCACCTCTCAGGAACCAATGCCGTGTCTTACATTTAAATCTAAACCCCCTCCCAGCTCACCACCAGCGCGCCTTTTTTGCAAAAGAAGTTCAGTCTTCACGCTGGGTCTTGACGTTTGCCAAGGCAGCAGTCGCTTCGTAGTGGTTCCAAGCGACATAGGCCAGTACAACCTCTGGCCCCCAAATCTCCTCCATAACTGACTCTGGAGGAAGAAACTTGCGATCTATCTCTGGGTTTTCCCCAATGACCTGCACTGGCCGGAGGAACAAATGCGCTGCTGCTTGCAATGTGCATTCGGACCCATAGGAGCCATCCACTTCCATGTGCGCAACATGCCTCGAAGTTGCCCCAGCGAAGGTCGAACAAGGTGTTGAAAAAGTCTTTCATTGCAAGCATATATTGGCAAATCTGTTGTCTGAGCTGGTCATGTAGAATTGGAGCATTGGCTGAAAATGCGAGTGCGATAAACTGGCAATTGCCATCCATAGGAGTAGACAACCTCTCTAAACCCAGCGGCTGCAAGCGGGCGGTAACAGCAGCTTGGCTCACAATGAGAGCATCTCTGGCTTCCGCGCTCTGCTGGGAAGACACTTCTAAAGCCAGGTTCAATTGCTCTTGCTCCCAGTTGTCCTCAGCACGGCCGCGGGAAAAGCGGTGCTGCTCGTCAGAGATCTAGGAAAACAGTTGTGAAGGGTTTATCTACAAAAGCATTTGGGATTTCAATTGCCTCGTCAGAAAATTTGAATGTCCAAAGAGAAAGAAAACTAAGTCTTGAAGATGATGCCTCCATGACTCTACAGCCTTTTGAAAAAACCTTCGGCACGGCATCACAAATCTTCTTCTTCTTCTCCAAGGCTGACCACTCCTGATAGTGCTGCTTGCAGTAGTTTCCCACAACGCGCTTTTTGCGGCAACGTCGACCTTTCGAAGCAGGAGCCAGGCATAGGATATCCTCCTTGTCTGAAGCGCCAAAACAATGCAAGAATGCTGGCTCACTCGACACCACTGCAATACCCGGCATGTAGTTTTCCCACCTGTCAACGGGTCTGGCGGGGCCAGCATGGCCTTTGTTTTTGCTGACCGGCTGGCGTGTGCCTTGACTGGGAACATGTTTCCCATTACTCACCGGCCTTGGAAGGAGAATGCTGCGCAAAAGCTTTAGCATGCGCCCTCTTCAAGACAGCCGTGTTCTTGTTCTCTGTGTACTGGCCAACTGCTTCAACCTGGAGCTTGTTGTCTTCAGTCCATGAAAAGCGGTGCTGGTAAGAGCAATCTTGGCAAGCAAGACACCGAGCTATCAAGGTTGCTTTCCCATTGTGAGAGGAGTTGGTGAGAGTCTTGAGTCTTGTGAAGAATCTTCTGAGAGGAGAGCCACTTGTGCCCAGCCACCCGAAGAGACTCTGACTCAGGCACATCCACCACCGCCACAACCTGCCATGGCTCTCGCCTCCTTCCTTTGGAAGGAGTCTCAACTTCCACCTCCTCAGCCTGAGCCAGCATTTTCTGGCGAAAATTAAAATTCGATGGAAAGCCAATGACTTTGGGAGGTCTGCAATCTAAAGTTCAGCCGCCTAGGAGACCACAAGGTTTTAAATTCAGATTTAAGGCAGCTAGTGCTTTGAACCTTTGAGAAAAGACTTGATTTCAGATCCTCACAAGGAATTAAAGTCAAATTTAAGCCGGTGTATAGAGCAGATCCTGTCTTGGAAACCTTGAATTCAAATCCAAGTCACTTCTCTGTGACTGTACCCTCCCAGCTGCAAAACCAGGTTTAATTTGAAGGAAAATCATTTCGAAAATACCTTTGATGTCTTGCCATCATTTTATGGGAGACTTTTTGAGCCCCAAATGCAGGTCATTGGATGAGGTATCCAAGTAGGATTGCTTCCCTACACCTGATCTGTGTTGACGTTTGACCTGACAACTTCACCCTGAGAAATGCTTTGCCACTGGGCCAGTGGCCCACATATTTCTGGTATTCTCAGTGATCATCATGGCTCTTATACGTCGCACAATGATATCAATCAATGATATCCAATAGATTTGTCATGACGAGTCTAGAATTGCACACCTCCTGTCCTGTTGTGTGGCTGTTACTGAACCAGCTGCCGCACTACTTTGAGGTCTAGTGATGTTCTTCAATGAGACGCCCATTGTCTGGCGGCTAGGCTGATGACCCTCCCAGTACCCGAGACGTATGTCAAGGGGTTGGTTGGGGGCCCTGATCGCCCAGATCAAACCACCTGGATCCATGCCTCCGCAATGAGCCGCAAGATCTCTGGCAAAGGCAAAGGGTGCCCCAGAATTCTAAGAGCCCTGCTGATGGCTGGAGCTTGCAGTTGCTCCTGCAGTGTGTAACAAGCTAGCAAAGCAATCCAGCCAGCACTGTTTTTGGTCTTTCGCCGGCAGCATCTTGCACTTCCGTCATGGTCCAACCCCATCCAACGGGGCAACTCTGAAGCGATGGAGGTCCTGCTTCTCCGGGTTGGCGAGGTTGAAGGCCATCTTCACCTCCCTCAACTCACTGTAGGTGAAGCCGTCACATGCCCGCAAGCTACCTGCACACCAAGAACAGGCCGACTCCTGGAGAAGAAAGGCCCTTATCATCCCTTATTGAAGTTTGCAAGCAGGGTTGTGAGAATCCTGACCTAGTCCTGCTGTTGACTGAAGGGTATGGGGCTTTTGTATGTGTTCTGCATCGTTCTAGGAAGGATGACAATGGAGTGGTCTGTGAAACTGAGGAGTAGGCTCAATACTTTGCAGACGTCGTCCACACTCAGATCCAATGTCATCTCTTGCAAGCTGGCCTCCACGTTCAGGGAGGGGCCATGTCAAGCAAGTGAACAAGCCATTGTCAACCCAAATGCCACTGCCAATGTTCTGTGCAAATACCCATGCGGCTTCATTGTGCTTGACCCACCTGTGTCCCAACATCTACCGTCTCGGATAGCGTATCCAGAATCGCCTGCGGTTGAAACACTAAAGCTAAGTCCACCAAACCCTGCAAACCAATAGTGTAAGCAGTTGCCAAGAGCTCTTATTGCTCCACTGATTGCCATGCCCCAACACATTCCAATGGACGAAATCAAGACTGTTGGCAAGGGCATGGACCCAGGCCTGCGGGGAGGATGAATAGCCCAAGCCGTGGATGAAGGCTTTCAGCCGGCCACCTAGCCCACATTGGAAGAATGCCTATAGAACGGCTGACAATGAAACGACTAAACTCGCCCGGCCTGTGCAAGGACGGGCTTTGTTTAAAAATGCCTCCACTTGCCTCGGTTCTTGGGGGGAAAGCAACAACCCAGGGTGCAGAAGTGGACCGGCTTCGACATTCACTGGGCTTCATTCATGCGTTTCATATATCTTCATATGCCCAAGAACTTGCAAAATCTCCCAGGTTCTTCAATGCTGTGAAAACTAAACCGTAACCGTAGCCTGTCTTCTCCATTTGCCCAGCTGCTCCATCTCCTCATCCAGTACTCTCCGAAGGCAGGCAATGAACTCCCCTTCGCTCAGCTCGCCATCCCCATCTACGTCACTTTGCCGATGGAACTCCTGGCAGGACACTCAAACCAAATCATCGAAACGAAAGTAGAGTGGCTTTCAAGGATTGCCCTTCCATGCAAGGTTGCCAGAGTAAAGTTCCTCAAAATTGCTGGGACAAATGCATCACCAAGGTCAATCCTCATGACCTGAAAAAAAACACACAAGAACTGCCATCACCAGCACCCCTGCCCCATCTGGCCGATCTGGCCCATCTGGCCACGCCTGGAGCTTCTCAGCTCGGTAGGGGAAGCCCAACCAGGTCAACGCATTGGCGAACTCGCTGGCGCTCATCGTGTCGCTCCCGTCCCGGTCGACCCGCTGGAAGACCCGATCAAAGGAGTCCAGCTCTTTGGTCGTGAAGCCTGGCACCGTGCAACAAGAAACTACTAGTAACAAGGGCATTACTACTAGTAACAAGAAGCTACTAGTAACTAGTAACAAGACCGGCTTCGGCTTCGGAACCCGCCAAGGGCGGTGGCCTGGGGGCCTGGGGAGGTGACCTGTCACCGCATGAGAGTTTGCACGGGCCCATTAATTTGGGGGGTGGATGAATCGTGTAGGAGACCAAGTGTAGGAATGAGAAAGTAAAACACCGCTGATTAATTATTGGTGCATCGTGGAGGGAAGCTTGACTATAAAAAAGTAAAGAATCATGTTTCCAATGATGCTTTCGTTTCCCAATGCCTTCACGCTTCCGGATGAGATGCTGGATCTTTCGAAACCCACCTTGGATGAAAGCAAACAGGTTCCAAGCTGTTTGCCTTTTTGGTCTCGGCAATGAAGCTACCAAAACCTCTGAGGAAGGAACTGAGATCAACGAGACCAGCGCCGTCGGTGCCAACTTCCATCACCAACTCCCGAAGCACAAACCTGTGCTGGCAAACCCAACGCAATGAAGATTCTCTGCGATCAGCCAATCAGCATCAATCAGCACTTCTTGTCACCAGAGCTAGACATGGAAAATGGACATGGGACAGAACACAGGCTCTCCCGGCCAGTCCAACGAAGGCCGCGCCTGCGCACTGGCTGCCCTATGCGGCGCAGGAGCTGTTCAAGCTGAAGCACATCAATGGTGCCCTGGCCAAACATTGGGATGACAGAATTCCATGAGGCATCCATGCTTCTTTTGCGCTGGCCTTTGTGACTGCAAATTAATGACATGGACCAATGCTGCAGTGTGAACAGAAGCCAACGAAGAATTGCAATTCCCCGGAAAAGCGCGCAGCACCTCAAAAATGATCTTTTCTAGGTTATATACCTTGTTGAGTGGGTGGAAACGTTTGAATTGGTCTCCACCGTGATAGATGAAAATAGTGTGACTGTGATGGTCAGCTCTTGGCTCAAAGCCCAATAGGGGGTTCGCCGGGGTTCCCCAAAACGGTCTCTCCAGCTGCAAGCTATGCCCACTTGGCTTGATGACCCCCTGCCTCTCCACAAGTGTCTAGCTGGCTGAACTCAAACTCGTAGGTCTCATGTAGCCCTGCTTCAAAACGGCATACGAAAAGGTAGAACTCGTCCTCCAACGGACCAGCTTGGCCGGTGGATGGTGCCAACTACCATCTACCTAGAGCGAAATGTCAACATAAATGGTCTGATCTTGCCTTGTTCAGGGTGTTGAATTTCGTGAGCCCCGCCAAGACTTTGTGCACGACTGCAGCACGCGAATCACAGAATCCACCTGGGGTAGATCTGCGTCTCTACCGATTTTTACTGACAAACCATGAACCAGGCTAACTTGAAACAGCATTCTTTTGGTGGCGATTGGACTCAATGATTCAAGGTGATCTGCTTCTCCGCCATATAGATTAGATGCGGACGAGTATGTGGGGACCTGATACGCACAAAGCACATAATCTGCCCAGGAACACATCACCAGCGCCCCCTTTAGGTCGTCAATGTGGATCTCTCCATCCATTTGGTAACGTGCGAAGGCCTTGGAAAATGAAGGAGGCCTCACAATGAATGTGAAAGCTATAAGCGTGGACAGAATACAGACCGCGCATGGCTTTGGGCTTGATTGAAAGCGCCTGTGAGAAGCTTATTGTAGCCTTCCCTCCTGATGATTGCAGCGAGGGGCTGTGTCCCACTTCTCCCGCTCAGCCTTGCTTACTGGACGCCCCTCAATGATGTCGACGTGGCAAGTGGCCTTCCTCTTGGTTAAGCGCCGATGGGTCGGCACGTCAGCTCCCTCGGTGAGGCAAAGGTATGCCTTGCCATTGTATCAAAGGCTTCCACCATATCTTGTGCTCCTCTTAGACAGTCCGGTCTTGTTAAATGAGGGTGCTTCTTTTATCCCTCGCGCGACCAAAGGAAAGCGCTACAACATCTTATGCAGCTTGGCCAAGACCCCTCACACACCTAGCCCCCCTTCAAAAAAAGAACGGTGAACATGACAGCGTGAAGAATCAAACCTATCGAATTCAACTTCCTTCCCGCTCTTTACTGAAGCAGCATCCCGATGTCAAGTAGCTACACCCGGACTTCTTGGCTCCTTTCAAAGAAACAAGAGTGCCAAGAGTCTGTCTGGCTGGCACGCCGTAGTGCCAGCGCTCGTTGCAGGCGACCCTTCAAGGGGCTGTTCTGGGAATCCTCAGTTTCGACTCTCCGTGGAAATCCAACTGAGACGTCCTTGAGATGGAAGAAGCCCCGCATCACGAAGAGCGAAAACCTGAATTGCCTTTCTATCTGTTCATCGATCTGTCTCAGGTCAGTCACCAAACCGTGACCAAAACCCGACCGATCCTCTGCTCAGACACTCCAGAGAAATCCACAGAGCGGCAACGCACAGAGGACCTGCGCCGCACACCACGCTTCACCGGCGATGGCTCAGATGCCGAAGCCGGCGAGGTGGCTGGTCGGAGCTCGTCCCAAGCCTGCGCCCGCAGCGCTGGAACCGTCGGCGTCTGCGGCTCCTGGCGGAACTTGTTGAAGCGGCTTGGGGGTGTGTCTTTGCCAATCTTTGTTTTTGCAGTTAGCAGAATACAAGGCGGCGACAACGGAATATTCAACCATCATTGTCACACTGTCACCCTTTGGTCCACCCCTGCTCAACTATATACTCCATCAAAGTTCGAGAAATGGAAATGAAACACCCTTTGAAAATACGAAACGCGAACAATGTCTTGAAGGGATCAGTACCAACTGCCTCTTTGCCTTCCGAACCGGCATTCGGCCCATCACCTGGATCTATATAAATTGAACAAATCTGCCTGACATGATCACCCCATTACGGTGGGAAAAAAAGAACGCCAGCACAACCCAAACCCACCTTCACCTCGACCGGCTTCAGAGGTTTTAAGACCGGCTGGTCCAGAAGCCGCCGATACCTGCAATGAGTGCGGCACTTCATCCATCAACTCCACATGAACACCTGGACCTATGCTCACAGTGCGAGCACTGTGATGAACAGTTGTTGACCTGCAGAACTTCATGTGCCCATGGTTTCTTGTTGGGCCAACGATTCGTTTTGATGAGGTCAAATCCACCACGTGCTCCGCGCCAAAAGCGCGGCGCACGCAGCTCACATCGTTGGTTGCGCGCCTTGCGTGCCGTTCACATCCGCGGAGCCGTGCCGTGGAGCACATGAAAGCCGGCCGGAAAACGGGTGTGGCAAAGGCCGTTATGGCAGGGTGATGGCAGGTTGGATGATCTTCAAGCAGGCCAGATGTGGCTGGATGATCTTCAAGCCTGTTGTGCTTTTGTTGTTTCCCAACAACAGCATCATATGTGACACTCCTGCATGGTGCTCAAGGACAGCTTTAGGCCATTGGGCAAGTCAGGCGGTCAGGCGGCATGAGTTGGATGCAAACAAAAAAAGTTCATCTCAAAGGTCTGGCATGGACTAGCGGCCAGTGGCTCTTGCTTGCTTACACCTTGCAATTTGGGAGTAAAACTTCTCACAATGCCAGTGTCCAAACATCCAGGGGCAGCGCGGCAGCACAGCTCAGTCGCTCTCCTGCATGCGTTGCACCGGATGTCGCCACCGTCGCGGCATCGCCGGGCCGCCCTTCGAGACGGTGGCCCGGACGGTGGCGGTCGGACGGTGGCCGTGTTCGGGCCGTCCTCCTCATCTTCCATCGCAACGCAGCACTTCCTCGGGCCAAAAGGCTTCCAAGGCGTACCAGAATCTACCATCGCCTTCCTCCCCAGGTGTTCTTGGCAAAACACTGGGCCAGAGCCAGCTACTCAGGGGTACAGGACTATGGAAATCCTAGTTTCAGAGTGCAGCGTGCAGCGATATCCGTCAACAATCTCTGGGACCAAAGCAGCTTCTTTCTGGACTGGCCTTGGCAAGGTGGCCATGTGGCGGCAGAACACTAATACCCCTCAAGCAACCGATGCACTAATCACAGTAGCCAGAACTAGTGCACAAATAACTCGACTCTGAAGGTGATCAGAACCAAGGGTTTGGCTGCTTCACCACCCCGGCCAGAAATTGTGGAGCTGCAAAACACCCTACACATGTGAGATCGCTGATTCCTGCCTCCCAGTCCAAGAGTCCCTCTGGTCGAGACAAGTCTAGAAACTTTCACATGAATGATGTTGCATTGGACTTAATGAAGTATACCGTATACACTAGTATTTCACTAGCCGTTAGCAACGCCAACATCCACCAACCACAGCACTGTATCGTGATATTTGATGCTGATCCTCTAACGCTTTACGTTTTGTCCAAGCCACTCTCACGCAAGAGGCGCTCTGCCCGGCGTTTGCGGCGGAGCTCCTCCCGCTGCTGCTCCTTCGGCCGCCACCCCCAGGACGTGTGACATGCCACACCCATGGGTGAACACTCTGCATGCTCCATCAAAGGACCCCCAAGGACCATTTCACAGCCTTGAAGTCACAACCAGGCAGTCTTCACACATGACGCAGTTTCATGTTAGGAAGGGCATCACCTGGCCTGACTACCTGGTGTAATCGACCCTTCTGCCCGCCCAACCCTTCAGTAATGCCTCCTGCTCTTCTGCCTCCCTTTCCTCCTGCTCCTGGCTCGAAGGCCGCATCACACATCTGCATGGTCAATGGCAGCTCCCAGCCAGCAAGGACTGGCAGTTAAGAAATCTGCAGTCTCCTTCTTCTCACGTTCCCTTCGTGCTTCCACTTCCTCCTGGCGGCAAATAATTACTAGGCCCTAAGCAAACACTAAGTCACTGGGCAGCCGGGCGGCGATGGCCAACGCTGTCATGCTCATGTTTCAACAAGAAGTTTTCGAAAGCCAAGACAGGTTCTTGGTAAGAAAAGGGCCGCAAAGCTGAAGCATTCAAAGGCTCAAACTGCTTGACGCCGTGCTCTCAACTTGTCACTGGTCAATCTGATTAAGAATTAGGACATATTAGGACCACATATTAGGACCCCATGCAGTCACACATCGTCGCTGAAAACCAACTGACTGACTGGGGCAATCCCGCACTCGTTGGCTTCAACGCCATGGCATCTGCCATATCTCCTTCGACGGAGCTCTCATCGGGTTCCTGCCTTGGACTCCTTCCGTCGCAGGCGCTGGATCGTTTGGCTCAGCGCCGCCTCACAGCGCAGAGGCTCTGGCACTGTGTGTCCATGTGCATAAAGAAAACGAAGCCCCAGCGAAGGCGTTTCATGTTGTTTCTGAATGATTTCTCTTGATCCTGCACTTTACCGCCACAATTTCCGACCTCCAACTGCTTGCTATGTGATTCAGACACCTGGCACTCAGGCCACACAGCATGCTCCACCATGACAAAGCCAGCTTTGTCTGGCTTGGAAACATACAAAATTGATCACAGCAACGCATGGTATCGACCCGTCACACCTGCGCAGTGCCATTTTCAGGCATTGATTCCGCTTCTGCCTGGGCGCTTCTTTCTGCGCAAAAAACGGAACCGATGGCTCTCTGACAACAACGCTGGGTGCTAATAAGGCAATGCTGGCAATGACCTGCTTCGAAGCACAAGAAAAGCCCCCCAAGTCCACTTCGACCAACGCTGCTTCTTGTTCACAGTTCGGAGGTTCCCCAGCGAGCTATGGCAAGTGAAACAGAAGCAATCTCGCATGGCACCCAGATGCAGGCATGGCCCCAAACCAAAAATTGGCTCCTCCTAGGTCAGAAAATCAGAAAATCTTGGTGTCTCAAGAAGTGAGGCCTGCCCCTGGTGACACCAAGCTGCCTTCATATGAGAGGCGAAACCGAAGTGATTTTGGCACATGGGACTGCTGCAAATCAGCGAGACTTATGTGAAGCTTGTAGCGGGACAGGTAAAAACTGCTCGGGCAAAAGTCCCATGGCACACTGCTTACGTTTGCAGGCACTCCGGCCTCCCTAATAGAAGCCGCTGGTGAAATTGCAAGAAAACTAATCATTTAATACCTCGTCTCCGGATGCTGGCATGGAATGACTTGGTTTAGCTCAGAAGCTTCCCGCATTGGCCCAAAAAGCACATAAACATTCATAGGATTTTTTAAAGTCCTCTCACGAAGAAGCCTGAATGACGCGGGGCGTTCTTCCAGGTCAAATCTCCCAATCCACAACGGGACGGGAGCTTATGTGGACTGTGTGCTTCTGCATCCCATGCCTTGACGGGGGTTCATGTTGGAAGTTGACCTCACTGCGCACTATCCTTCGGAAATGGCCACTTCTGCAGCGTCAACTGATGACAAAGGCATCTGGCTCTGCATGTCTCCGGGTTGGGCCCCTGCCGCTGCTGTTTCTTCTTAAAGCCGCAGCCACTTCCATTTGTCATGCGCCAGTAGGGCAAAGCAACCCAATCTCCATTATCTAGAATCTACAAACATTGTCGTGGACCGGTAGAGGTCACCGAACGCATCCAACCGGTCTTAGCAGTTTTTAAGCAAGTCTTAGCAGTCTTACCACACTGACACACACTCAGCGGTGAGTTCTACCGGACCATTGTCAAAAGCGGTCAGCTAAGAAGCTTTCGAGCCGAGCTGGCCTTCTTGTTGAAGATGGCGCAGCTAAGGACTGTGCTCGCAGGTGTCCAAGTTCACACAGCCATCATTTTGGCTCAACTAGCAGTTCTCATATTTCAAAAGGTCGGTCGGCCTTCAAAAAACGGGGCTGAGTGCCATCCATGGCGAATTTGTTGCTTCCACAACATCTGTTAGAATCTTTTAGAAATGTACCGGACAAACACGGCAATCAGTGCCCCCCAGCAAAAAGAGAATCTATTGCAGCACCAAGCAAGGGTATGTTTTAGACGATTCAAGGGCTGTTTCGCCACAAATTCAGGCGCATATTCACGAACAGGAGCGCGCTATGGAAAATAGAGCGGGCACGTGAATGCGCAGCTCCTGGGATGCACCAAACAATCGTAGGATGCAAATCTAGCCGATGTAAATGCCCGTGCGGGGTCCAGCTTAGATGCCATTTGAGATTCTCTATGAAAGCACGATGTCACAAAAAACTTCAAACAACCTGCCTGATCAAGTAAAATGGCTTTGAGTACCAGAAACTTTGGAAGCTTTGAAGCTCGCCTTCAGAATCGATCCTCCGTGGCTCCACCCCCACCCACTCCTTTGGCTCACATGACCCGCTGGACCTCTCGAGATGCCTCAGGCGTGTGAAGGGTGTGTGTGAGCAAATAGGCGTCCTTGTGACCACTTCTATCGGGTCGAAAGGAAACAGAAAGCTATCGCATTTCAAGGCTTGATAGGGCCCCCCACCGGAAGATGAAAGCTCACCTTTCCATCCGTCCAGACCTTTCTCTCCCACCTCAAAAACTCGCAGCCGACGAATGTGCCCCTCATACGGCATACGGTACATGTTTTTGTACCTTTTTTTAAAGCAGTCCCGTTGAACCTGCACGTCATCTAATTGGGACAGGAAGCCCATTGGAGTTCTTCTCCACCTTTCCCTTGGCGCAGCACCGGTCCACCCACGGGACATGCATCGACTCTTTGCAAACATCTTCACCATGATATGTTTGTTCCTGTAGCTCTTGAGGCCCAAACATTCGAAAAGGGTGAGCTTGCCATCTTAGCATCTGCCCTCGGCAAGCAGGTGTGTGATTTCTAAGCTCTCTTCCTGAATCAAGTGGGACATGTCACATCTCATAACGAACCTGTACACATGGACATCGGCAAATCGCTTCAGTCAAAGACACTCACGGGCAATCAGGGAAGGGATGAGACTGCAGTGACATCGAAAATGGAAACAACACCGCTGATCCCAGGCTTCGCAACGAGACGCACTCATGGCTGCCATACTGGCTGCCGTGTTTGCTTGAGAGCACATTCAGAGTGTGAAGCTGCAAAGCAAGAATGCGGTAGTTTCACAAAATACGTGCTAACACGAATCCCATTCAAAGTCTTCTTCTCGACTTTCTCCACTTTGTCCTTGGTGATGCCAGCCAAGGAAAAAGAAGACCTACCACATGAAAGTCTCAGCCCAACAAGCACTTGGCTCCAAAGGGGGTTGTATAATGAGATATGAAATGAAACACTTGTCTGAAAATGGTAGGTAGAGAGAGGTTGCGCAATTTTCAATCTTTTTATTCGCCAGCACCTTTGCTCATCGTGCCTGGCTCCCTTACAGAAATTCTTGGCCCAGCGCCTTGGCCGCGTCGTCATCTCCGCACACACTTGCGGACAGGCGACGTCTTTCATCATCTTGCTGTGCACCTTCTTCTCTTGCCAACCATTCTGACGCTTGTCCAGCAAATCCTGACACGTCACGTCAGAGTTTGATGGCCAAATATGGAGACTGTCGACCAGAAAGTGCCGCAAATACCTTGAATGCTTTGTATGCTGGGGAAGCACAGGCCGTGTGCGAGAACGGTCCTTCAGAAGGCAGCGAGTACGCGCGCTCTGCATCTTGTCCTCGGTGAAGAGCTTCACCTGTCCGCAGGAAGGAGGCAGCTGCACGTTTCAGACTACCTACCGACTATGTTGAAACGGTACATGTGACTGTGACTTTGTGTGTGTGTGCACATGTGCCGAGTAACTCCCACGATCTTGTGTCATGTATCTCTGGCGAGCTGGTCTTCCTGTCTCCGCCATCTTCGGAACCAGCAGAAACATCCAAACAGCCCTCACGCCTTCCGAAAGACCTCCTCCCAGCGGGCGTAGCCAGACCACTGTGGTTTGTCGAAGGTGGACCCCAAAGTGTCCAAAAAAGCACAAAGCGTCTCCAAGGCCTGCCGTCATTTGGACGCCCAGAAGACTCCGACGTCTTGACAACGCATGAGCCAACGTGAACCTGTTGAAATGGTTTCTGTGCGGAGGAGAGAGTAGGGACTTATATATAAGAAACAAGAGAGGTCCAAAATGGTCTCGAGCCATATCAGCGTTGAATTGAAGGATATCCTGGCGGGGCCCTAAGGCCAAGCGGCATCAGCGCACATTTTTGGTTCAGCAGCAAGAATGTCACCCATCCTGTGGAAGAAGGTGGTTGCTTTACCTCCACCATACGCTGCCATGTGTCCAATCGGACAACTGCACCACACTCCAGTTTTCTTTGTTGACCAGGAGTATCTTCACACAATACTAGTTATATACTAAATGCTCAACGACCCTCACACGAAAACAGGCATTCTCTCGGACAAGTAAGAAGGGTGAGGTACATTCCACCGGCATCTGTGGTGCACATCGAAGCCGCCTAGCGGGTCTCACATGGGGACCCGAGGTCCGGCGCTGCGCAACTGGGATGTGTACAGCTGCTGCAGCTGGTCCCTGCGTCTGGATCTCTCTCAGTCTCCTTCCAGGATCAGCTCCGCCATAGCGGAAATGGAAGGGTAGTCGAAGACCAGAGTCACTGGCAAGTTGATTCCAGGGAGATCTTTCTTCAACTCGTCTGACAGCCTTGGAAAACACATTCCAACCACCTTGCCCTCATACCTGCAAAGGCACCGAACTGATAAGCTGCCGACCCAACAGCCATACTGCTTGTTAAGCCGGCCTCCATGAGAGGAGTATCAACCTGTCCCAGCTGATGCGTTTTCTCTTGGGCACAAGAATGTCAGCAACTCAGCAGCACATTGTCCAAATCTCTGCACGAGCCTCTGAACTTTTTCAGTTTCTTTATGTCTCTCTGGTCTACCGCGCACCCCGCCTTCTGCAAAGATCTATATATATATATACAAGGAACGAATTCCAAGCCAGGTCACAACAACTAGACTCTAGACTATTACAAATACCATACTATCCTTGAATTCTTTTGGCGCAAGCCAGAAGAACAATCCAAAGAAGGAGGCCCTCTCTACCGCTTGACCACTTGGTCGGGTCGATCACCATTTCAAACCTGCCATCCATGCCTCGATCTCATCTTCAGCAGCACCAGTCAAGCTGAGAGCCACCTCTAAGATCTTCTTCTTCACCTCGGCTCTCTGATTCCGGTTGCCATGTTTGCCCTGAACTCCCCCATCTGGACATCGCCTGATTCATACATCTATATAATTTGCAGGTAGTCAAATGCGGCCAAACAACCAAATCTGGATGCAGGTTCTTTATGTCCAGCGCAGGACCCGTGGACCGTGGCCTCATATGAGCAGAAGCGGGAGTGCGGATGCTTCAAACTGAGGGTTCCGATATCTTCTGCGAACTTTCTAGTACAATGTGGAGCCTTGGTCACGGGCAGCATGGATACCCCAAGTTCCTATTCCTAGAAAGGGCTTGCCTAAACAAAATGAGCTGCTGAGCCCTCGCCTGGCCACGCGGGTCTCCGTCGCCTCCTCTTCGTCGCCATCGGAGCTGAGCAGCATCTGTGGTGGGAGGCCACCAGCCCCGGGGGCTCCTGCATCGCTGGACAAGCACCGCGTGGCCGAACCCCGAGATCACTAAGCGGCTCAGGTGCGACAGCTACGCGCTGAAAAATGTGGACAGCGCGGGCAACCCGGCTTGCTATTTCGCCGGCAGCTGGCCAAATAGCGGCCGGCCGGCCAACTGGCCATAGCGGCCGGCCGGCCATGTACTAGTAGTACTAGTAGTCGTCGTCGTAGTAGTAGCAGTAGTAGTAGAAGTAGTAGTCGTCGTCGTCGTGGTAGTGGTAGTGGTAGTGGTAGTGGTAGTGGTAGTGGTAGTGGTAGTAGTAGTAGTAGTAGTGGTGGTGGTGGTGGTGGCAGTAGCAGTAGCAGTAGAGGTAGCAGTAGCAGTAGCAGTAGCAGTAGTAGTCGTAGTCGTAGTCGTAGTCGTAGTAGTAGTAGTGGTGGTGGTGGTGGTGGTAGTAGTAGTAGTGGTAGTAGTAGTAGTAGGAGGAGTAGTAGTAGGAGTAGTAGTAGCAGTAGTAGTAGTAGTAGTAGTGGTAGTAGTAGTAGTAGTGGTAGTAGTAGTAGTTGTTGTCGTCGTAGTGGTAGTGGTAGTGGTAGTGGTAGTGGTAGGAGTAGTAGTAGTAGTAGCAGCAGTAGCAGTAGTAGTGGTAGTGGTCGTGGTCGTGGTCGTGGTCGATGGTCGTGGTCGATGGTCGTGGTCGATGGTCGTGGTCG